GTGTGTTAAAGCATATATATATATAATATATATATATATATATATATATATATATATATATATATATATATTCAACAGAACACCTATTCAACAGAAATGTAAACACAGCGAAAACACAATGTAAACAGTCAGTTATGTCTTAAACAGTAAACAGACAAGAGAAAGTAAAAATCGGATATGTGCACTAGGTCTTACAGTGTAAATGCAGTCTAAAAGAACTGCTGCTGTCTATGATGTAGCATTAACTAATCCATATTGACATTGGGAAAAAAAAATCAATTGCAATTGGTGGATATCTTATTGGATTAAAGAATGTTAGACAATAGTTCATTTTATTTACAGAATCAGTATTAATGTATTATATTGAATAATCATGTAGACCATGGCAATAATTTAAGTAATTTCATTGTACTTTTGATTACTTTCTTTGTTTTGATACTTTCTTAATTTGACATTTGATAACATTTAATCTTTAGATGTGTTCAATATCATTATCTTTTAGGTGGGTGTGGTATCAAAATTGGTATCGAGAATTTCACAGGCATTGCTATTGACTACAGAACATTTTGGTATTATGACTAAAGACCTGTTCACACTGACTTCACTCACATTTTGTAGTCACTCCTGAAATGTGCTGCTCATTTGCATAAAGTTAAATTTGTTACTTTGCTGCGTCACTGGACACACTTGCATCCTTTCTCCAGCGGTCGATGGAAGTCGGCCGTTCTCTGCTGAATGTGAATGGGAACGTGTCGATTTGATTCAAAATCAAATTCGATAATATGTTTTACTCAGATGTACGTCACAATACAAAAGTTAAAAATCTTCAGTAAATCTCAAAAAGCATATCAATTTTTCATACTGTGCATGACTGTTCATAATGACTGTTCATAATCGAGACCCTAGTTGTTTCTGCACATTAAGTTGGGACAGAATAAAGTACTGTGACAAACATTTTACCATTAAAGCTCTTAAAATGACAAAAGGAGTAAAAGAAAGAAAGAAAAAACAACAACTTTTTTTTTAAATCAAAGATTATTGCAATTATCAATGTCACTTATGTTTTCGGTGACACTAAAAACAGTCTAAAAATCACTGAGTAGACTTGCGTTTAACAAGGCGTAGTCTTACATAAAGATCTGTTTCTTGAAGGGACGCTCTTGAAATCAGGTCAAGCCCCACATCCATGTAGTCTCAATTCAATCTCAGCACACTGTCTGCGCCAATAGCCATGGTACCTCTTCTAGGCCCTGCATTTGTTTATCAAATTGCACGATAAAAATCTCCCCACTGCTCCAAAAAACCATTTGCATTGTAAATACCACTCCAGAGGAGAGGAGGGGAAGAGAAAGAAGATTTTTTCTGGCCATGCTCCTGAGGGCAAATATAAGAGAGATATACTTTCGTCTTGTATAAGCATATCAGTGTTGAGATCACATAATAGTCCCTAAGAAACTTTATCTTTCCAGCCCACAGAGCAAGAGATGAGAAGAATGCAGAATGTTAGTAAAGAAAAAAAAAGAGAATTAAATCTGTTTATAATGAACTTAATGGTTGCTGTAGAGAATTTACAGAAAAGTGATGGCTGTGTTACCTGGAATTCAATGCCATAGTTCTCCCTGCAGAAGTCTCGTAGTTTGGGATAGACATGTTCTTTCAGAGCATTTCTTTCTGCTTCTGTATCTGTGACAGGACACACAAATAAACATGAATATTAAGAGAAGATACTCAGAGGACAGAATTTTAAACCTTTATCTGTAAATATTCATAACTCTTTGTTTGCAAATGTCTGTAAATCAGTTTATTCAGATTTTTCAGTATTGTGTTGGTACCATGGAAGAGTGATGGTCTCAGATGGTAATATCATGCTACTTTACCATATACTCAACAATGTTATTTTATTATTATTTCTATACTATTATAGTATTTATTAATAATTTAAATTAATTTGTATATTTTCAAGTTGCATTTTATTTTTAGTTCACATTTTTAGTCAATTTATGTGCGTTCGTCAGTTTTTAATTTTTAGTTGTTATTTTTTTTTCAATAATTTTAGTACTTCAGCTTAAACTTTTATCTCAACTAGTTTCCAAATTTAACATTAAATTTTTTTTTTTTTAAGTTTTTAAAAACTTAAAAACTTTTTTTTTTATCCAATTTTATTATCTCAGCTGTGTTTCAAATAATGATTTTTAAAATTCTTTTTAGTTAGCAACAAGAACACTGAATGATTACCATAGCAATGCATCATGGTATTAACATGGTGCTTTAAAGAATACTATGGTGTTTCTGTGATACATTACCCCCCCCCCCCCAAAAAAAAAACAGAGATTCCCTGGCTTACACTGTAGTCACTACTGTTCTCTGCTGCTAGTAGCAGAGCAAAAACAAACACAGTGTCTGCGATCACACTGACAATCTGGGATTCAAAACATGGAAATAAACAGGAGGTTGCAGGATTTTGAAAATCTAAAACAAAGACATATGACATAAAATAAGAAATATTCAAGATAGTATATATATGAGAATATGATTGTGAGGTTTGAAACTAACTGCTGCAGTTCATGCAGCTTGAGTGCTGCTCCCATTAAAGCAAAATATATTCTGAAATAAATTTTAATTGTCCAATTTTGAATGAATTTGTAGTGAATAAAATGCAAAATGCAAAAATAGCAGCATTTACTAGTGGCCTCAGAATCTTGCACTCAGCAGCAGTGTATATTGTTGAATAGTACATGATGCCTTTTGTCACAGACAGTCAGGGCATATGAAGCATGTGAGTTGACACATTGAGGATACTCATGCTTCCTGTATTCACTGTACTACTGCTAGTAGCAAGGCAAAAACAAACACTATCAGTGCCCTATTCACAAAACAATTAAACCTGCATTTACAAACCTTTGATACACTACATTAAATAGTTTTGCTTAAAAAAGATTTGCTCTGCTATCACAACAGTCTGATTTCAAGGTCACATAATAATTTGCTAAGTCAAACGTAGCTAGGTAGAAAGGTAGCTGAACTTGTTTGCCATTTATATGCACATTTTGACCCTACTGAAGCACGGTTTCCTCTTCTACTTGTCTGCATCAGTTTGCTATTGTGCAGGCTCTCCACTGATAGTTGATATTGCGACAGAGAACAGAAAGAACTGACTGGAGAGCTCTCTGTGGAAGATGAGGCCAATCATGCGCTCTAAACCCTCTAGACACAGGCAGCCAAGACAGCGTGTCACAGCTCACTACAGCATCTCTATCTGTGTCAGCCTAGTACCGATTTTGGGCTGGTTGAACAGCTCATGCGCCTTTCATGTTTTAAATCTTTTATAACTGTCCATTCTGATCTTTTTTGGGCTGTCCTATAAAGCATCTAATTTCAGTCTGTTACTTTTCCCTCACACTGTTTTCCTGTGCCATTTTTGTTGTTTTCTCAGTAATAAATGCTGTGGAGAAACTATCTAGAGCTTTTGTTTCCCCAGCCACTCTCTTTTGAACCGGCTGCCTTGATAACTTTCCATTCTCTTATCATGTCTTCCTGTACTCTTTCAACTTGTTTTCACCCCAACAAAACTAAACATATGACAGCAAGACAAGCACTTAAAAACATCTCTTGAAATTGGCATTAAATGAAAATTCACCCTATCTATTTTTGTAAATGTTTGTTGTCATGTGAAAATATTGTAAACAATTCACCTGTGCATATGTTTTATTCTTAAAAAAATGTTTGACCTTTAATCAAAACATCATATCTGGACCTTCCGGCAACTTACTTTCAACAGATCATAAGTCACTCCAAATATCACTGTAGCCTATGTCTATATTTCGTAACAGATGATGCCTTCAACAAAAAAATCTCATTAACTGGAACATTATGTGATAATATTTCAAAGTGATTTCTGACATTTCGACAAATAACACATATTGTATTCATCTTCTTTAAAAAACATTTCAGTAAACACTGCTAACAGGGGTTAACAATTACATTTTAAAGCATTCATGTGAAAACAAACTTGGAAAGAGACGTGTTGATTTGAGGAGAAAAAAAGAGAGATTCTTAATGCAGTTCAGTGAATTATTCAGGGATATATCCCAAATTAAATGTGCAGTATATGTTGTCGTCTTTCATATATATTTTTAGAGTGGAATACAAGGGGAAATGAAAATAATCAGGAAGAAAGGAATTTAGCAAACTAAATAGAGCTTGTTCCACAGATATTCTTGCTATACCATGTCACACTAAAATAGCAAGCGTTGCATTATTCTTCTGACGTCTGATAATAGAACATGAGTGAAAATGTACAGCTCATTCAGTCAAACTGATAGATAAGGATTATTTGTAGCACAATTTTATTATTTGAAATGATTTGTTCCAGTCTTTTTGAGTGGAACTTCCACAAACCAGATGTGCCTTCTATAATCTAAAGCGCAGTAGGCTCGTTAGGAAAAAGGTGCATTGTCAATATAGTGTAGTGATATCTGAAGCACAGCTCACACAGACGTCACTTTCAAATCAAGCAGCTTTCTGTTGTCAACACGGCAGTTTTGCTTGACCAACTTGAAACCGCTGTGAAATCTGCATGGGGAAGTCTTTCATCCTCACACAAAATTCACAATTCACAAATTCACAATTGTGTGACTTCCTGTTGAAATAAATGACTGTATTTTGCCCATAACAATTCACCAAACAACAGTAAATGTACCTGCACCATTAGACCTTTATTATGACTGCCCTTTTATATGAACACAAACGACATAACACAGGAGCTTAAAAACTGGAAAGGTTCATTTCAAAAGGTTTGTTGTGGTCTTATCATTCGTTCAAGGCTGAAATGATCTCCCCACATGTAACAAACCATCCTCAGAACAAAAGAAACCTTTAGACAGCATTATTGTCAAGTTAGTAGACAAGACACGCATAGACTGGCAGAACACCAGGGAAAAGCACCTAAGTAGATACCTTCATATAGTCATAAATAAATTAACGTGCCACACACTGGGGAGCACTTTAAACAGTGCATTTGCATAACAGAATGAAGCTTTCGATATGTATCCACCTGGAAATTGTGTCAAAGATATAAGGTTTGAAATATGCATAGAGAAAAAGAAAGGAAGAAAAATAGAGAGAAAAAGAAAAGAATAAATAAAAAAAACACCAGCTATATGAGCTGCTGTGCTGGTCTCCACATTTACACGTGGCATGTTTGAAATGCCTGACATGATTGATGATGATAAAGAAAGATAAAGAACAGACAGAAAAAAAGGATAAGAAAGGGTGGAGGGGAGGTGGGTAATGCAAATAGCATTTCTGAACCAGATTGATTTGAAGGAAGGAAGGGAAGTGAGGAAAGACAATGGAGGGAGTCATGAAGGGGTGAGAGAAAGAAATGACTTGAACAAGACTTATAATTTCTATAATAAAGCCTTGTAGCCCCAATCAAAGCTCTGAAGGACTGCTGTACAGACAAATGAGATTTTCCAGGCTCTTTGCATTTAAAGTGAAAATGAAATCAAAATGGTACCTATAGTTACATTAAGTGCATGTTCCAGGATTACACACTCTAAAAAATGGTGGGTTAAATATTGCACAAAATACATGCTGGGTTATTTTGACCCAGCTTGTAGGGTTTTATACATTAAACAAATTTGCTGGGTTGTTTTTTTACATAGTGCTGGGTCAGGCAACCTTTTTTATGTTTTTAATTAAAAATGCACTCTTAAAAAAAAAAAAATAATAATAATA